ATTCATATTAATTAAGTCATTGAAGCATCAAAATCATGCTATAGCCTATAATCGAACACTTTTATCGTGCTAAGAGTAGGACAATTCCGAAATGGTAAGAGAAAAAGGAAAAACATTTCGTAACAGTTAAATAATGATGAATATATTGGAAAACATTGTAATGAAAAAATGTGGGGAAAACTGAGATTTTTTCCAATTACTAAGGAAAAAAGAATTAAGATTTAACTTTGAAGTCGTCAAATCCAATTATTAAACTAAAAAATAGCTGACGAATGTATGATTCATATATAATACAAATATGATATGTATAATTTATATATATCAACTAAACAAGTAAATAGTAAATCTGTCCAACTATTTACGTAAACATTCCAAAAATAAAAAGTGGGAGACAAAGAGGTTTATTATAACAATCAATAGCACATGAATGGGGTCCAATTTGTCACTTTCACTTGTAAATTTAGGACCAACCATATTATTAACCTGGTGTTCTTCTTTCATTGCTCCAAACACTGTGCAAGTTGACAACATAATTTAATACCCCCACGCCACCCCCACACCCCTAGCTACTCATGTCCTCTCATTTTCTTATGAGTTGATGTTAAACATTCTAAACATTGATTATTAAGAAACTCATGTTTAAGGTATACTTAAAAACATTCTTGGACTTTAATCCATTTTGTATCTCCTATATCTCTTTGTGGAGGAGTGTGGGGCAGTTCTATTTGGTTTCAAGATCCATGAAATGAGGAATTCTGTTTCCATTTGGAAATTCAATTAAAATGTGATAATTTTTGTGTGTGGTAGTAAATGTATATAAGTTAAATCTATGAAAAAATGGCAAAATAAATAGTTGGGTAGAAAAACTATACAAATTGAACCAGTTAGGCAAAATATTTACTCAAATTGGACCAATCTAATATATTTATCCTGATTGGACCCATGACCTAAACCATTTACCCGACTCCCCCTGGTTCTATTCATTGAATCACAACTTCTTCATCCTTGATACCATCGAAGTATATATATACTCTGATTATATCTATATACTCTAATGTTATCAAATAGTAATTGAACAGCCTTTTCACTGAAACACTGCATGTACCTCCTTTATGTCATCAGAATATATATGTATTTTCATAAGGTGATAGCCCTTGTAAATAGTTTCTCTTTTTTTGGGTACAAGTGTTCTTCCCTTTTTTTTTTTTTTTTGTTAATAGATAAACTTTAAACTTTAACCCTTTTTAAGACTTAAGAAGTTAAGTTTGTTTTTTAACTTCATTATTATTATTATTATTATTAAGGCAACCAAGTTGGCAAGATTCCTACCATGGAATCCCAAAATCCGCCCTAAAGTGCGGATTGAAGTATCGTGTTCAATTTTTACTAATTGGGACTCTATAAAAATATTTTTCTTAATTGACCTTTTTCATACTTATCTTCCACTAAGTTGACAAAACTAACCTAGGATTAGTTTAAGTTTGAGTTAATTATCGAACCGTCTATATATTAATTCAACATATTTCAGCCTAATTCACTTAATTTTAGACAATTAAATTTGATATGTTATAGTATACAATAAAGAAAAAATATATTGTATTAGGTACTAAAATATATTTAAAAAAAATAAAGTTATTAAAACTTAGTAAGAATTAGTACAGTTAAGTTTTGACCCACATTTTAGTCTGTTTCAGCTCATCTTGATCCATTTATTTATTAACTTAACTCATCTTGACGTACTCAAATTCAGTTCAATTCGTTTATTTGTCACCTCTAGTTTCACTCAAGATGATGGTAAAATCAAAATAAATAATTATCTCATGTTTAATCAAAAGTCAAATTCGAACCCTATAAATATATTTTAAAAATCATAATAAAAACGATTCATCCTTTAACAAATCTTACTGGACACAAATTTAAATGATCCGGCATAAGAAAAAAATACTTTAATAATATCGATAGAAGGCACATAATTTAGGCTGTTTTGACATTTTTATTGTCCTAGTAGCTACTATGTTTCTTCCCTTTTCACATGTTCATTTACCAAGTCATACTATTAATTATTATATTAAATAAATAATTGGAGATTGGTGAAGATTAGTGTTTTTTTCCCTCTTGAAATATTCATCAAAACTTTGTATTTATCCTTTTAAAAAAAAGTTTAAACACTTATACGTGCACGTGTGCGCATGAATTATTGACTACTTTTTTAAATAAAATAATAATATATAATTGTGTGTAAGCAATAACAAGGCCTAACTCTTTGCTTTTTTCCCCTTCATATTATTATTATTACTACTATTTTTTTTTAACATAATATGTACAAACATTTGTGTCAGCATCTGAGGAAGCTTTTGACTTAAAACCAAGTTAATAAAGAAAACAACAAAATTTTGTTATAAATAAAGAATAATATGCACCACAAGTTTCCATTGAAATCAAGTTGACAGCTACTTCTCATCTTACATAACTATATGCAACCATGCAACTTCTCCACAATTATTGCTAATTTGTATGTTCATTATACATGAAAAGATAATATATAAAATCTTATCACTGGTTTTTTGACGTAATTCTAATCATTTTTCTCATAATTCTGCTTCGAAAAAATTTCTTTTAAGGTAAAATATATCAGAAACAACCTTTTTATCTCATAAAAATAAAGATAAAATTTGTGTACATTCTATCGTTTTCATACTTCACTGAATATGTTATTGTATATAACTCTAACTACCCTTTATTGGCATTGTGGTATATTTCAACTATAATTCAATCCAATTTGACAAGAGATGATAGTTATAAGGAATGTAAATAGTGTTAGATTAGTTATAGAGTAATTTAATTTGTTATAGCATGTTACTAATTTCACAATATTTTAATACATATAAGTTAAATTCTTGTTATATTCATTAAATGAATTAATGACCAAAGAATTCAAATTTGGTAAATGCCTCTTTTTTTGGGATATATACTCAACTACTCATGAATAAAAAACTAACAACCTACTATAATCTATCATGACTTAATTTTGGGAGTTGTTTGAGGTAATATTAAAGTATATATTAGGATGAATCACTCATTAGAGGTGTGGTAGGATGGATGAATATAAATTTCGAGCTTTGAGACTAACTCTTGTTGATGAGCGTTTTTCCTTTGAATGTATCGACTATACATGAATATTTGAATTTGTCAGACCAGTAAATTTTGAAAATCAGATAAGATAGTATATGAAGCATGCATTAATTAGGGTTTTAATTAACATAACGTTTTAGAAAACCCTAAGCCACACATTAAATAAGCATAGACAAAGGGCACCTTCAATCACATGGAACCTGCAAGAATATCTACCTACATATGAAAGGTGACATCTGGTATTTCTCATTTAATATTTTTTGTTTTAATTTGTGTATCAACATGTGGCAATTGTGTAACAAGTACATTTTTGTTGGATTAAGATGTAACACATGGAGAATATCAAACCCTTCAACAATAAGATCAATAATTATTGGAAAAAGCTAGCTAGGTATAGAAGAAATAATTAACCTTACCAATTAATTCATTCTAATTTGAGCAACAAATCCACATAACCATTTTCAATAATTTCAAATTTTGTGAAAATTATTAGTGTACCAAGAAGGGAAATTGTCAGCATTCAGGACACATAGCTGGAGCTCTTGTCTTTTTCTTGAAATCTATGTCATGCTCCAAGATATGGGTGGCAAATTCTTTAAAAATCATAAGACCTACAATATTAAAAGGTTTTGGTGAGGTAAAAAAAGGAAAAGAAGCAAAATTAATACAAAAACCAATAATCTTTTTATCATTTATCACCACTTTGGTATCCTCATTGAAGTATAACTAAATTGAAAAATTCACATAGAAAAATTCCACGCTTAGTAACAAAGGCGATCCCGTATCCAATTGGGTTCGGATCCAAAATCTCATATTAAAGACGAAGGAATACTAATTACCATTTCGTCATAATTCTTGGGGTCATTTGATAGTTGGTTAGAGTTACACATGTAATAATTAATCCGAAGATTAATTATGAGGGAGTTTTTGTAGCATCTTACGCATGATTGACTTATATTTATATATGTATTAGTTAGTTAACCTTCTATCCTACATAAAATAATGTACAACTTCCTTCATAATTTATACATATATTAGTTATATGAATTCCAAAATTGCAAATTAAACACATTATTAATTTTTATATAAATGACTTATAACCTCTAACCAATCGCCAAAAATAATATATTTTACTGATAAATAATTTAATATATACGTAACTCACCTCCAAATCAGCTATCAAACGAGCCTTATTGATACAAAAACCAATAATTGCACCTCCAAAATTATACACGGATCATATTTTTAGTAGACAGCTGTCATAAAACTAGGTGGGGTTGTTCATTTTTGGTAGAAAATGAAACTTGAAAGGGATTAATATTTCATTATTCACAATGTCTTGTTCTGATTTTGATTATATTACATTATCAATTTTGAACCAACTCAATCAGTTCATCAAATTCCCTCAGCTAGGCTGGCAATTCTCACAGTTACAACAATTAAAGAATAATATATAATTTCCATTTTTTTTTAATTTATACAGATCTGTTAAAAGTATTTGTTGAAGAATAAAATAATGAGATAATGTAAATAATAAAACTGTAAAGAAATAAATATTATGGACTAAATATTAATTATTTTTTCTCCTGACTTCTGTTTGGTGTGGGAAAGAGATAATAAAATAAAGTTTTTTTTTTTTGACATTTATGTTTTTCTGTTGTTTCCCACTACATAGACAGGAAAAATAACTAGGAAGAAGATTAAAAAAAAATTTAAAAAAAAAGAAAAGAGGATAAAAACAAGATCCTCAGAAATCTAAAGTTTTTTTTTTTCCCATTTTTTTCATGCCCCCTATTCACCCCTCAAACATCAAATCTTTTACTCTCTTCAACTGCAGCTTGCAGACACAGAAAAAATATACTTTTTTGCCAATTCTTATTGCCTCTTTCTTCCCTCCAATCCACCTGATAAAAACACAATACCAAAAATTAATTAAATTTTCAAAAAAAAAATTAAAATCTACTGAAAATAATTAGACATAATAGAAGATAAATATGTACATTAGTTGAGATTAAGTTTAAGTCATGTTACAACATTTATTTTTAGTCTAGCTGGTAAAAAATATGCAAAGAAGTTTTGGGTAAAATTTGGTAATGCTATTGAATTGAGACGAACTTAAATAGAGCGACATGAAGTATGGATCGAGAGAATTTGTATAATCCATTCTAAGTTATAACTTGCTCGAGATTGAGATGTATTTATTATTGTTGTAGTATCAAGAACAAACTAGGACCTTTTTACTTACTAGATTTTTCTGATGAAGTTCTTCCACTCACAGATGTTTTCAAGAATCCAAAATGCTTTCCCAAAACAGATTTACCCTGAATAGAATAACACATTCTCATTGTTAGTAAAAATTATATAACAATTACAACAATATACTCAGTTTAATCTCACAAATTACTGTGAGATCTGACAAGTGTATAATGTAAGCAGCCTTATCTCTCCAATAGAATAAAAATAATATAACCATATATTCAGTATAATCTCATAAATTAGTGTGAGATCTAAATAGCGTATTGTGTACGCAACAGGTAAAGAGAATGTTTTCGAAAGAATAAAAATGATATAAGAAGAAATAACCTTTGAATGTGTTTCAGAGAAGCCAGTTACCATCTCCATGGAAGTTCTATCATTATAACATCTTTCATCCTGAAAAATATATATATACAAAAAAGGGTAAATGTCAAAAAAAATAAAAATATAATATAAGATGAGAAAAATGTTGTTATATTGACAAAGTTACCTTAGGGAAATTAGAGAAAGGAGAACTAGCAGTGTCATCAAGATAAAGACTCTGTTTTTTCACTTTTTGTTCATTTATTTTCCTCTTTTCTTTAGCTTTTTTAGTGTTTTGAGAAGCAGATGGATAGAAAATATATCCATTTTCATCAAAACAATAATCTTCATGAAAATGTGGTGGACCAGAAGAAGCATCAGAAACCATAGACATATCTTCATCTTCTTCTTCATCTTCATTACTAACATACTCTGTTTTATAATTAATCCCATATGGATTATTATTATTATGGCTAACATCTCTTCTGTTATTGTATTGATCTGCTGAAAATTGATCTAAATACATTGTCCATCCAGATTCACAACCACTGCTACATTCAGAACCTGAAATATTCATTCTTGAAATTTATTTTTTGAAAAAAAATGTATTTTTTTGGTGTTTCTTGAAAAAACAGAGGAAGAAAAATAAAGGGTTTTTTTTTTAAAAAAAAATTAATGTGTTTTATTGTGATTATTGGTTGTGTATTTATAAGTGGAGAAAGAGAAGAAGTAAGGTGTATATATAAAACCAAAGTTAGCACACTCAATAGTAGACTAGCTTTGTCCTTAGCTTTATCCTTTGGGTCTTAGTTTTTTTCTCAATTTTGTGAAGGATCAAAATTTGCCAGTTGGCTTTAGTTATGGGGTAGGGTGGGATAGGGGGTGGGGGTG